CAACATGCTACTAGTGCTCCTTGCCCTAAGGTTGACAACATAATTTTGGCTTTCTGTTTCTGTTTTTCTTTGTCCTGTTTTACATATATCTTTTCAATTTCCTTTAATAGTTCTTCCATAGACCTGTTTTTCCAGTTTTCTATTCTTTTTGTGCCCTTTTACAGGTATCAGGCCAAGTGTTAGTGACAAAACGGAGCTATAACATGGATCTTTTGGGTCTAACCTGACGTATTTTCTCATTTGCCCTCTTTTATTTTTGGTCTCCTGAACCATTTAGGGGTACACTGACGATCCCAATTTTTCCTCTTCCTAAGGGACTTTTCCAAGAGGAGTTCAGGGTTGTGAGTAGGGTTGTAGGAGGAAGGGCAGGATTGTAAGTCAGGGGGTAGAGAGAAAAGGGGGTCCCAAGGAGCTCTGGTAGCGTAGTGGTTACGAATCAGGCTGCGAACCTTAAGGTCAGTGGTTCAAAACTACTAGCCGCTCCGCGGGAGAAAGATGAGGCTTTCTACTCCCGTAAGGATTTACACCCTTGGAAACCCTGTACAGGGTCGCTATGGGTCGGAACCGACTCGAAGGCACTTAACAACAACAAGGGGAAGAAAGTTTTTCTTTCTTCAGCTTGTTATCCCTTAAGTGTTAAGTGCAAATAGGATAACAGGACCCTATCTCCAGCATAGGGCATAATCTATTTGCTCCTGAGGGATAGGACTTTGGTTATTGACATATTCAATTAAAGATTGACAGACCCAGTCCTCCTCTGAGTCAAATTTAGGCCAAAGGACAGTTTAAAAAAATGGGTCCTGTGTCCAAAAGAAACAGCAATATCTTATCATTTGTTATGTCTATTTCCCTTTAGTTTATGCACTATTATTCTAATACTTTAGTATTAATCCTAATAGACTATTATGGGGAATTTTGTCCTTGGTTTCATTTTCTCTAGAGATTCTTTTACCAGTATTATTTCCCAGCCCGGCTACCTGGCTGTGTCTTCTTACAAAGATGCTCAAACCCTCTCCCCTTCTATACTTGGAGGTTTCTTGCTTTCTTATGTCTTCTTACAAAGAGGCTCAACCCCCCTTCTATACTTGGAGGCTTCTTGCTCTCTTTAATTTTCACTTTGTCTGTCTCCAGCCGCTTCCCTCAGGGAACGTTTGACCCCTCTTAGCAATTGGTATGTCGGTATAAACCCCCGACTCAGATCGAGTCCTTGACTGGATACCACCCTAACCTGTATGACATGGTCATGGAACCACGGATCAGGAATCCACATTTGCTTTGTTCCCAGGGCACGTCTCATTCATACACACACAACCTCTGGGATGTCCCAACCACCAAGAAAGCATTGGTCTCCCCTGCGGTTTTCTTACCTTGGCCTGTGCACAGAATTACCTGGTTGCCACGTGGTGATGCTCGAGTAGGCCTTTTTCCCACCTGCCAAGAGTCCGGTTTTATTCGCTTCCTTGGGAGACTTCAGCAGATCTCACCTGAGGGCTGCTGTAACTAGACAGCAGGATGCGTTTCCCTCAGAGGAGAAGGCTAAAGCTGCTCCCCAAAGGGAATGGAAAATCTCTGACGGGCACCCAGATTGTTAGAAATGAATCCTGATGTCACATAAAAGACACTAGGTGAGACTAAATTACCTTGGCAAAGCAAAATTTACTCCTGCAAGAGTACACGTGCACATAGCTGTGTACATACAGGAACAGGCCAGCGAGCACACTGAGTGGGCAGTCCACTCGGGTTTTTAATCCCTGATGTGAGTCTCAAGGCTGTGTCTCACCCCACTGGCTAGGGTTTTGACCGCACAATCTTTTCCCTTACCCGGTTGGCTAGTTCAAAATTTTAAGGCAAGCATTCCTACTTTAGGAAAAGAAAAAGAGATCATAAATTCTTTACTCACTTTAGGAAATAACCAAAGAAAAAGAGAGAGGTCATAAAGTCTTTACTTCAGGAAATTAAAAAAAAAAAAAAAAGATTACCCAAATACAATAAACAGGATTATAATATTTTTTTTTTTGGCCCCACACTACCAGCGATTCCTCAGGAGCAAGACGAGACTTTCTACTCCCATATAAGTCAGAATTGGCTTTACATAATCACCATCAACAACAACCTCATGACAGGGCGGATGACATCATCTTTGTACATGTGGTGTGGCACTGTAGGATAATCACTAGACTACAAGGTTAGCAGTTCACACCAACCAGTTGTTCCTCAGAAACCCTATATAGGATCACTATGAGTAGGAACTGACTCTATAGCGCTTAACAACAACAGCAACAAAGGTACCCACCCACCTATTGTATTTCTATTATAACAATAGTAGATAACTAAGACAATAAACAAAGAAATTAAATATAAATAAGTAAATTAAATCTTGGAGTTCAATGTCCATGTCTTTACCTCATTTTCTTCCCATCCAGATAGGGCCCAGAGGTCTGTCCAGAGTGAATCTCCAGTGCAGTTTCACCAGCCCCTCATCCACATGACTCTGGTTCAGCCCTCTGTCCTCTAGGTGAGCCTTAATCACAGCCTCAGCATCACAGGGTCTCCTACCCTCCTGTTGTGGAGGAATGTGAGGCTTCTCCTCAATTTTCAACTTTCTCCTTTCTGTAATGGCATCTCACATACACTCAGAAAAGTCAAATTGTACATTTTCTTTCATTTTTTACCTGAAAGTTGGCTACTGTTATTTGAAAAGAAAGAAATATATGTCATATCTAAAAAGCCAAAATGAAAACCATATATATTGAAGAAGTCACAAATCTTAAGAGCCATCTCCATTAATTCTCATGTAAGCATTCCATTGTCAGTTTATACTTCACATATTAGTGTTTCTAACTCTGGAAAGCTTCTCTGGGGTAAGCTGTGCAATCCTTATTTTACCTTCTTTTGTAAGTGTATCTAACTTTACTCTTTTTAGTGTATTAAATGATTTAAGTCATCTCAATGATACTGCATTTAAACATACAAAGTAGACGCAGAAAATTTAGGTGTACTTCAATCATAACTAAATAATGTATATTCCATAGAATGATGAAAGTCAGCATGATTATTTTGTTTTTTGATGTTACTTTTTTGCTTTATAATGACTGTTATATGTAGTCTATCTTGATGTGCTACCTGTGTTGTTTTTAGGTGCCATATAGCTCTAGCTAAGACTTCTAACACAATATTGAATAGGAGTAGTGATAAAAGGAATCCTTGTCTGGATCTTGTTTGCAAAGGGAATACATTCTGTTTCTCTTCACTGAGGGCTATGTTGTCTCCTAGATTTGTATGTATGCTCTTAATTATGCTGAGGAATTTCCCTTCAATTACTACTTTGCTGAATGTTTTTATCAGGAACTGTTGTTATTATTAAGTGCTGTTGAGTTGGTTCTGACTCATAGCAGTTCTGCATAGGGTTTCCAATTAGCAGTTGGTGGTTTTGAACTGCTCACTTTGCTCTTTGCAGTTCAGTGCTGATCCTACAGTACTAAACCAGGATTAGATGCTGGATTTTGTCAAATCACTTTCTGTATAATTGATGTGGTCATTTGCTTCTTTTACTTTGTTTTATTTATATGGTGGATTATCTTGGTTGTTGTTCTAATGTTGAACCATCTTTGCATCCTCTGAATGAATCCCGCTTTGTTATGATGTATATTTTTTTGATATATTGTTAAATTCTGTTGGCTAGGATTTTATTGAGAATATTTATATTTATGTTCCTGAGTGATATTGGTCTCTACTTCAGCTTTGTTAGATTAGATATGTGCTTCATCTATCATTATTCTTACCTAAGACTACATCCTTGTGTATAGCAGAGCTTGTATATGAGTTAGAATTAGGTGTAGCCACAAGTTACAGGAAGCCTATAAAGTACAATCTCTTTAATAAGGTAGAAATTTATATAAAGTCTCTTACTTAAATCAATGAAGGGGGAAGTGGTACAAGGATGCTATGTTGACTCTGATGCATGTTGTCCTCTAGAATCCAAGTGTTTGGTGCCTCATAAGGCACATCATTATGGTCCAAACCATCAGCTATGTTCTAGGTAGTTGTATAAAGAAAGAAACCCTAAAAGAAAGTCAAAAATCACATGACAATTGCTAAAGGTAATTCCCATAATTCTGCGACATTATATTTCCACATGTTCCATTGGCTAAGAATTAGGCACATGATCAAATCTAGTGTCATCAAAGGCTGGGAAATATCACACTTTTTACTGAACAGTCATCTATCTAGTTAAAAATTATTTTAATATAGAGAGAGGAAAGATGGTTATTGGGACATCTTATGAGCTCCTCCACAATCCATCCCTTTAACTTCATATATATGATCTCTTCTTCATGTATATACAAATATAATCAAAGGTAATGATTTTCTAGAATGTAAAGAGACCTAGGAAATATGTATCTAAAATATCCTAAGCCAAGCCTAAAGGTTAGCGAACAAGCCAAATTTAGTAATAAATTTTAGTGATTATAGGGTAGAACAATTGATACAAGAAGTACATAAAAACAAAGACCCAAAGCTGAATACGATCCTAGAATGAAGTAAGTGGTGAGAACCAAAGTGGAAACAAAAAGAAAAAAATGTAAGGTAATTTACATGACCAAAAGGATACCACATCATTTTATCTGCTGCTAATTGGAAGGCATAGCGAATGATTTCCCAAGACTGTACTCTTTACAGAAGTAGACTGCCACGCCTTTCTCTCACAGAGTAGCTGGTGGATTCGAGCTGCCAGCCTTTAGTTAGCAGCCTAGCACTTAACCTCTGAGCAACAGGACACCTTAAGAATAAGTACAGATCTACTGTTTCTCTACTGGAACATAAGTTTCATGAGGGGAGATTTTGTCTACCACTGTTCACTATTATATTTGCAACATCTAGATGAATGATGCATAGTGTTGTTGTTAAGTGCCATCGAGTTGATTTCGACCCATAGCGACCCTGTATAGGGTGTCCAAAAAGTGGTTGGTTAATTTGAATTTCCGACCTTGCAGTCAAACAACTTTGCAATCTGGTGCATTAACCCACAGTGCCACACCAGGACTCTGACGCATAGTAGGCACTCAATAAATATTGATTGAAATAATTAATGAATATACATTACTATCTACTAATTTCTTTCAACACAATACTTTTAATGCTTAGACCAAAGGAAGAATTTTAATATAGTCCATGTTAGGTCAGGTAAAAAGTCAATATTGC